TAGCTCCACAGCAGAAATGTTTTTATATGTTATTTACGAACAAGAAAGAATACTCATCTGTCTTCTTCTTGTAGCATTATATCGCCAAATATGTTATTTTTTATCTACTTACAGAAGATTTAGCTTCTAAGCAAAATTTATGCTATTGTAGCCATTTGCCGTAAGTCAGGTGCAATGAGAATAGAAAAGTGATGACAGCAGATAACAAATAACGGAAAATAAGGTCAAAATTTTACTCATTCATTATTTTTTTATGCAGCGAATCGCACTTTGATTTTAAAAATGTATAGGTCCTTATTTGGAAGGAACTTAATAACAGTGGAGGAATACCTAATAGTAGAGAGAGAGTGGAAAAAAAAAAGAACAGAACAACGACAACTAAACTGCTGCTACACTGACTTAGGTCAAATTTATAAATAACTTTGCTGTAAATTCTAGTGTATTTCCAAGTAGTTAAAGTTAAAATAGACTTCTTCTTAAAAAAAAAAAATATAGAGAAGCATGTACCGCCTTAAAAAAAAAACGAACCTCAAATGCGCATTAGACAGAAAGAATGTAATAACCAAACTTAAATTAAACCTGTTTCTCTACCGAAATAGTGCAATATTAAAAAACAACTGCAGCTACATAAGAAATAACTTTAAATATTCACAAAAACACTTCCTAGAACCCAAAAATGAGAAAAAACTTGCGGGTAGATAAGCAAAAAAAAAGTTAATTTTACCCGAAAAGAAACAGAATCAGTAAACCAAAAAATTGAGCACAATAACACATCCCGGCTAATAACTCAGCGAGTTCAGCAAAGAACTTCTTGTCCGAATTTTGACAAACAGAATGACACCAAAGTCACCACAGATCTTCTACAGCAAGCCTGGCAAAAACGCCCTAAGATGAGCCTAGACCAACACTTGCCCAGGATGGCAGCCGGCCGTGTTCCGATAATTCTGGTCCGACTGTGACAGATATTTTATACCAAACTGGAAATGAACGCGCCGGTAGCTTTCTAGCTCCATGTTTTTAAGCCAACTGTGATTCTGTTGTTTTTACAGCGTTCTTCTTCCGATTGCTTTGGATGAAGAAGATTTAGACGTTAAAACAACAATAAAAAAAGAGACATTTACGGGAAGTAAACTGCATCTATGTTAAAAATAACCATTCTTTTTCTGCTACCATGTGCAGTAGAATTCTACCTCTTACTCACTGGAGTCCATTTAGGGAGGATCTGTTCAGGTGTCCACCAAACCTAGTTGTACCGCAAGACTTTAGTTTTTACTGTATATTAGGGAAAGTTTTCAATGTTACAAAGTTCTCTCTCCGACAGCTCACTCTTGCAGGAAACTCATCTTCTCTTCTATTGTTCTAGTCAATCTGTTCTTAGATTCCCTTATGTCGTTGATATAATAAATGAGGTTTTTTTT